ATACTCTACAACACCATATAGATTTTCTTATCTTGTCGAGCTGAGTCGATTTATCTATGTATGTCCATCCGTCTATCTGTCCATGTTTATCTGTAATCACGCTAAAGGTCGCAACTATTTCTCAAGAAATTTAGCATAGAGTTATGTTTAGAGTCAGAAAAAAAACCTACTGATTTTGGAGACAATGGCAAAATAACAGAAAAATTCTAATTCAAAATACATTTTGGCAGAAAAGTATAAACTGTAAAAAAATTTGTGAATTTTCTTCAATAAAAATATTTTAATTATAATACTGGACATATTGGATAGTCCGATCCACACGAAATTTTTTATGAGAGTTCGGTTAGGGAAGTCTATTTTATTTTGAACATGATCGCAAAATAATTTGGGTTGAAATGGACCAAAGACTGAAAATTATCTGGATTTTACAGACTCTCTTCGTCACGAAATTTCGCAGAGGTTAAAGTTTGATACAGGACAGAAGCCTAGCTTTTAGGATGATCATTGGATAATATTTAGCGGGTATGATGGACTACAATTTTTGTGTAAAATTGTTTTGAATACCTATCAGCTCAACATAAGGCAAATGCCACAGGTCAAATGCCAAAGATAACATTTCAGCAGGACTGTATGATATTATTTAAAAAATTCTCCAAAAATTGCAGCATTAATAGTGTTGTAGGGTATTTCATGGTCGGCTCCGCCTTTGCTTAGTTTTGGATCTATAATCGTAAATTTTCCAAGGTACAGGAACTGTCAATATTTCCAGGACTAACTTTAAAAATCAACTAAGCTACAATCATATGTTTTTCAAGGAATATTCTATACCCTCCACCAAACATAGTATGGACTGTATATTAAGTTCGTCATTCAATTTGTAACTCACCGAAATGATAATTTTAGACCAAACAAAGTATATATATTTTTGATCAGCGTAAAATTCTAAGACGATTTAAACCTGTCCGTCCGATGATTCCAGACATAATTTCCAATGGAATTGTTTGAAAATCCACATGTCTATATGGGTCCAACATATCGTATAACCCCATAACGGTATCTCCCGATATTCGGTATTTGGATAATTGTAGCCACATTTTTCAATGGAATTGTCTCAAAATTCACACTAGGGGTTCCTTCTGAGAACTTTACCCCCTGAAAGAGTATTGTCTATATAGGTCCACGATATCGTATATCCCCCATACAATGGTACCGCCCGATATTCGGAATATTGATGATTGTAGCCAAAATTTTCAATGGAATTGTCTGAAAATCCGCACAAGGAGTTCCTTTTGAGTACTTTATTCTCTGGGAGAGAATTGTCTAACGGTACCTTTCTTTATTCGATTTTTGACGATATTGGCAACATTATTCAACGAATTTTTTCAAATATCACATTTGAAGTTCGGAAGCGATACTACCGTCCATGACAATAAATTATGCAGGCCTACGTATTGGTATAGATCCCATATAACTGTTTTCATTTAAGTGGTATTTTTCGACGGATTTTTTTAATTTTTCAAGATACTTTAAAATGGTGGAGAGTTAAAAGTTCGGTCCGCCTGAACTTACTTATTTTTTTACTTGTTTCTATTACGAAGATAGCTATTGAAGTTGATTTTTCAAAAAACTTTTTTCACGGACCGAAGACGAAAATTTTAACGAATATTATTCAAGGATCCAATATTGAGGAATAGCCGCATTGATATTTTTAAGGATCAATGGTGTTATTCTTGGGGACCTTAAAGATTTTTCGCCAGAATAACGAAGCCATAATTGTGAACGTTAATCCTTCATTTTTAAGAAAAATTGTGCTTATCAAATGTCGTTGTTGAATAAATTCTGTCAGACTTCGTAGACGGCCTTCTCGCTGGGTTGGTATTGATAAAAGGTTAGATCGGGTCAGATTTAACTCAAGTCTACGCAAAAACTTGCCTGTATTCATTATTTTGTATTATCAGTACTAAAACTGTTTTTTACAGGTCAACTTTGGGTATAAAACCCATCCCATTAAAAACTTCTTGATTTCAGATCTAAATGTCACCTCTATTAATTTGGCATTAGGGAACTTTGTTGTATACAAATTTGTTAAAATTTTTTTTTCAATTTTCGGTCCATGCTTCGACGTGAATATATATGGTTACACCTAGAAACATTTTTTTTTAAATGAAAATGCTTCAATTTGACATCTTTCCGAACTACACTGTAAAATCCAATATATTCAGCTAATTTAAAGTTTTTGGTATATCGCTAATGAAACTTTGATCCAAATTTAATTTGGAGACTAAACTGATTAGCTACTGCTGCATATATAGATGTCAATTTGTATTTAAATAAATACCCTTAATGAGCTACACTTTTAAAATGACGGACAAATTTTAGTGATTCTAGGATTTACTTGTAAAGAGCAAGTTCATAATGTAGCTGACCCCTGCTTCAGAAGCTGATCCCTTCTATAGAAATCTAAATCTCTCTGTTTCGTAGTAACTTCTACAATCCGCTAATTTCTAAAAAAGCTAAATTCAGATTGTTTTTCTATGCTTAAACCAGCAAAAGGTTCATTTTTCAACAAAAAATATCATTTATTATGTAAATAGCGGGAAAAAAGTCATCGCTTTTTTTCATCCTTGAATTTCATTTAACTTGTTTACAAGTATCTTTGGTAAACACTTTGTACATGCATGCAATTTTGTTAGAATATGAAATGAATATTCATTTTTTATAATTACCTTGAATTGGTGTTTTTTTATTTCGTTGTTCAATGAATTTTTATGCAAAACATTCTTTTTTTGTGGCATTTTAACGCCAACATTGCATAAAGTTTGATTTTTCATAAATATTTATTAGGAATTGCTTGCAAAAACAAACGATAGTTTGTTTTTTTTACAAAATATACAATTTACAAAGTGTCGATTTATTGTGGTTGCATAATATGACAGTTCAGTGTGATGTCGAGGGGTAAATTCAGTTGGGTGGGGTCACTAACTTTTTGTTTGATCGCGAGCATATACATGGTGATATGTACTTTGGATTTTGTTTTTAGAAAATAGCCCGATAAGTTATGTTTAAGAACAACTTTCTTTGTTGAAAATTTAAAACAAAGTTTTACCAATATTTTAATACGTCAAATATTCAAGGTCATTGACATAAAAGTTTGAAGTTTGTACGCCTAACATTTCATTTCACATGTTCCACTGTATCTAAACAATGTAAAAACATCCATTGAAGTGGAGTAAAGCAATCTGCCATACTTGCAACAAGTATCAGTGCTATTTATGAGGACAAGGACTAACTGAACAAAACCTAAAGCATTTAAGGCATTTTAAATAATTAAAAATATTCTTTGTCTGGGTGAAAGTATGCGTATGTATGCGTGTGTGTGTGTGGGTTTCATTCTTCTTCTTTTTTTTTTGGCCACAAACAAAGCAAAAGAAATTGTTGCCAACAAGAATATAATGAAGAAATGTAATAAAAATCCCTATTAGCCTACATCCATTCATTCAACTCATACAGGGTGAGATGAAAAAAACTGCAACCAACTTCAGACCGCTGTTATTTCTATGCCACTTGTCCGACAGCTATAAAAATTATTCCAGTGACAGCTCATTATGTTGCTTACAAGCGTACAAAAGCATTTTGGTGAGAATTTTCCAGAAAAAAAAAATTATTCGTGATGGAATACGAACGTGATAGTGTGATCGCTTTATATTTGGCTGGAAAACCACAAGTGGCTATCGTTAGAGCACTCCAGCATTTAAATGTGAATAAATTTTTGATACCGTGATACTGGTAGCGTAGCCCGAAGGTAGTGGAAGGAAAAAAACATCAACATCAGCAGAAAGGTTTCGAAAAGCAAAGAAGAGACTTGATCGAAACCCGGGTCCCAGTGGCCGAAAAATGGCCCGTCAGCTGAACATATCGGAATATTCTATTCGGCAAATATTGAAAAATAAGCTCGGGGTAAAGCCACCGCAAGTACCGCAACAGAAAGAAAATAGACTCAAAAGAGCTAAAGAGTTGCTTCGCTTGGCCGAAAGTGGTGAACTGCGAATTTGGTTTTCTCCGATGAGAAAACATTGGTTATCCAAAAGTTTGTAAACAACTGAATGATCGTACTTACTTACCAAAGAGGTCAGCAGAAAATGTGCACATTCGGCAGGCCACCAGAACTCAAGAACCGGTCATGGTGATGGTGTGGGCCGCCATAACAGCCGATAGTCGCTCTCCGCTCGTATTAATTGACCGTGGCAACAGAATAAGTGCCGAATATTAGCGCGAAAATATTCTGGAGGGTGTATTAAAGCCTTGGACACGCAAACATTTTGGCTGCAGGCCTTGGACATTCCAACAGGATTCAGCACCATCGCAATCAGCACGCGCCACCTAAGAATGGTTACAAAATGAGGTTCCTTGCTTCTTTTCCAACGCACAACGGCCACCAAAATCTCCTGATACCAATCCGTTGGACTATTGTGTCTGGAGTACTAGGCGAAGCAAGGTTGGTACTAAAAAATACCAAAGTGTCGATCACCTCAAGCAAGCGCTTCACCGGCCGAAATACCGCAGAGTAACATTCAGGCAGCGTGTGATGGTTTCATTGGCCGGTTGAAGGCCATAATTCGTGCCAAAGGTGACCAATTCAAGAAAATCCAAACTTATTCTAAAATTTGATGCTATTCCCGAAATTTTTTGCTCTCATTCAATAAAATTTAAAAAAAATGCAAAAATTGTGGCTTTTGACTGTGTTGTAGTTTTTTTTTATCTCACCCTGTATATATGTGGGCATGTGTGTAGGCAATATATATCTGGACGTGTAAAATTCCACAATGTAACACATATGTACTTATGGATTTCTACATGCCTTTGCTGTTGTTGTCGGCCACATGTTTGTTTTTCCTTTATTATTTGCCATTTTTATTAGAGTAATTCTTTGTCAAGCCTTCTCTTTTAAGGAAAAAATCCTTTTTACTTATTTTTGCGTTTGTTTGTTTGCTTCTTTACAGCTATCAGGACATTATGAAGATACCAACATCTTTGTCACAATTTTCAACATCATTGGGTCCCATTGTCGATGGTCATGTTATACCCAATCAACCCTATAAAGTAATGGGCCAATACACAGAACACTTTAGCCGGTATGTATGATTTTTGTTGTTGAGTTTTCTTCTCTTTTTTTTTTATACCCTACAACACTATGTGTTGGGGGTATTATAAGTTTGATTGGGCCAAAAATTATGTAACACCTCGAAATATTGGTTTCCCACATAGGAAAGTATATATGGATCTTCCTAGCTCGCCGAGCTGAGTCGATCTAGCTATGTATGTCCGTCCGTCCGTCTGTCCGTCTGTCCGTCTGTCCGTCTGTCCATGTTAATTTGTAATCACTCTACAGGTCGCAATTATGGCCCGATCTTCACGAAATTTAGAATGTAGGTGGGGCTTGGACCAGAATAGAACCCTATTGCTTTTGGAGATGATCGCCAAATGTTTAGGGGTTGAAATGGACCAAATACTGAAAAAATGTCGGATTTTGCAGTAGCTATACAGGTCGCAATTTTAGACCAATCGACGCGAAATTTCGCATGTAGATAGAGTTTAGGGCGGGGAAGAAGCCTACTAATTTGGGTGGTCATCGGATAATATTTAGCGGGTAAAATATACCATATCTTTTGTGTTGAAAAAATCAAAATTTTTCATTAAACCGTGAATATTCTAAATCCCGGCGAAGTCACAAAGCCATCACAAGGTTACTTCTGACCTTTACATTGATGTTAACATCCAACAAATCGGATATATAGCAAAATATGTGCGATATATATGTCTATCAAAGGAGATATGCTTGAAAGATCTCTTATATGTCGAGAACGGCTGAACTGATTTCGACAGTTCTCATTAATTCAGAATGGCCTCTTGGCAGGAAAGAAAAAATGTCTAAAAAAATCGCATAAAAATATCTCTCTAAAGATGAAAATATTGATTTTGTAAAATTTTCTCATATTTTTTCAATTTTGTCATATTTTTGGCATATTTTCATTTTGAATTAAACATTTGGTAATATTTCTACAGCTAACAAAACTAAGTAGTTAGGATATCAGGATATTATATACAGATCTTATTTATGGCCCGATCCTTACGAAATTTTGCATGGGGTAAGATGAGGGTCAGAATAGAAGTCTACTCTTTTTGGAGATGATCGCCATATATTTAGGGGTTGAAATGGACCCAAAAAACTGCAAAATTGTCAGCAGGTCGTAATTATCGCCGATCCTCACGCACATTTGAATGGGGGTTACCGCACATTGCAAAAGCCAAGCAGTTTTGGATGGCCATCCAAAAATATTCAATGTGTGAAGGAGTTTGCCAACTTTTGTAGACAAAATACGAAAATGTCCATTCCAGTGACTTTTTGGAGAATTCACAAATACAGGAAAGACGCACTTCCGACTATTTCGTTAATGTTGATTTCGTTGAAGAATATAGTCAAATGTCTGTATCTCATACAGATGCGTTTCAGTCAGAAGCCAATAATAAATGTTAATCTTTTGCCACTTCTGAGAGGTTATAGGTCTTTGGGAAATATTGGTTCCAGATCTAGGAAGACCATTTACGTGCAACATCTACCAATAAATTGGAAATGAGTAAATTAGTTTAAGTTGTTATTTTTCGAAAATTAGAGAACGAAACCTGATGGTTTTCTTTTATTATTTGTCGCAATATCTTGTGGAATTCTGTCGAGTATTTCGCCTATATAAACTGTATGGTTTATTATAGTGTTGTAGGGTATTCAACTGTCGGCCCCGCTCGACTGTAGCCTTTGCTTACTTGTTTTTTTTTGTTTTTTGCGAACATTTTTGTTTGTACTGTCTGTGGTTAGTTTTTGTTGTTGGCGTTATTGTCATTGTTACTTTTGCTTCGCTTTGGCAAAGCTTTTGCCATTACTTTAATGCCTTTAAATTTATGTTCTGTTGTAAAAAAGGGAACAAATATCACAAAATCCACTGCAACATTTTTTGGGTAATTTATTTTTTTATTTTTCGAAAAACAAACGACAAAAGACACAGTTTTGGGTCTTTAAAACTCCAAGAATTAGCTTAAGTCGAAAGTTATGGGTATTGTAGTCGTTATTGGAAATAAAAATCAACAATTATCGTTCGAATAGCTTACAACAATTGTTCGGGGGTATTAAGGTGTCTGATAAGACCAAAACAGTCAGACAGACATAGAGACAGGTGATTTAATTAAATGTATTGTAAAGGGGAATTAGAGGACAGAAAGAAGTCCATTAAAATAAGAGCTTGTGCTACAATCGAATAATGCCGATTGAGAAATGGAGGTAAGTGGCATTTGCGGTAGTACTCAAGTTATGTGTAAGGACAAGAAAAATATGAGTTTGGTTAAAAACCAAAATTTCGAAAATTCCTGAGTGGTATATAAAAATAAGGGACTATGTTTGTTGATCTAAACGTCTACTCCATTTTTTTTTTAATTTTTTAATAATTTTTTAGAATTGAGAAGTGAACACATAAAGCTTCAAGTTTATAAAATAGTAAATCTCGTTTTGAAAATTCTACTTTGGTTTAATTTTCACCCATCAAAGTTTCACTTAGATTTTCAAAGAATTTCTTTAAAAGACTTCCTAACTAAGAATCGTTGGTTTTTAACTATATATCAGAAGATTTTTGACCAAAATTCACATATTTTTAAAAAATATGTATAAAGATATCCTTCTCTATAAGAAAATCACGATTTTATTTAAATAAATTTTTCACAAGGATCTCATCACCAAGTGTCTTTGACTGATCGAATAAAATTTAGTGGGTAAATTAGAACACAAAATTGCGGAGGGCGTAAATATAGGACAATGATACCGGCTATTTTATTTATACCCCCAGCCATATGGCTTAAGAGGGTATATATAATTTGATACGGCCAGAATATGCCTCATCGAAAAAACGGTATTGTACCCCAGGTCTCTTTGGACCAAATCCGTTTCCGGACATTTGAAGTCGATTTTGGAAAGGGATTTTTCGTTTTTCGAAGGAATTTATCCAAATTTTGTAAATCGTAACATTATCATCAAACTTAGATCGAGTTCGGAGACAGGCTATATAGGCCCACTATTTCGGGAACCTCCCCACATAAGATAAAAATTTTAATAGAAAATAATTCGCCTCATACAACAAGAAAGGATCATATAATTTTGTTTATACTATGCCAATCGTAATATTCGTATCAGTGCTAGATCAGGTATAATGGACAATATAGGCCTACTCCATCAAGTAACTACCTCACAAGGGGTTAACATTTTTAATAATTATAACTCTCATAAAATGTAAAATAAGAAGAATATTAACAAAATATCTGATTTGAATATGGGGTATATCGGCCAATCCTTCTGATACCTCCCACGCAACGGGTCAAAATTTCGAAAAAAGTCTCTCCTAAAAAGTATCTCATTCATTCTAAACTTCATACATTCCAATATTTAAATTAACACAAAATCTGCTATGAAGATGGGATATATCGGTTCCGTACTCCTGGTACCTCCCCCAAAAAAGGGCTTTTAAGCGGTTAAATTCCGATTTTCTTCAAATTTCTCACATCCCAGTATTTTAACTAACGCAAGATCTGAAGATGTCACCTTCATTTTGGTACCTTTTCCACAAAAGTTCAACATTTTAATTATCATTTGTTCCCGTAAAATTGGAAATAAATGTTCGATTTTCTTTAAATTTTGGACATATTTATAATTATAGCAGCATTAGATGAAGTGGAATACTTCGGTGCATTATATCTGGCACCTTATGCATATTTCAAAATTGTCCAAATATTATCAACGATCTCAAAGAATGTGAACGTTGGCACGTTGTAATGTTTATTTCAGGCTTATGAAATGGAAAATATAGGACCACCACTCCTTCGAAACCTCCCCAATAAAGGACCAACAGTTTGAATTATCATAATTTTCAACTGTCATATGTTAGTCCTAATGTCGTTCCAAGATATCATTTCAAGTGTGATAGAAATGCAAACATTACACTATGACACAAACCCACACATTCGTTTATAATCCTGACCCACAACGCTTGAAACACTTCAGACATACCAGGAAAACATCTATCTTTTAGCGCTTCAATAGATTTCTCAATAATTGTGTGTGTGTCATGGAAACACATAGTAAACTAAGTGACAAGATGTCAAGTAGATTTGTGTCATTATTATTCAAAAGGATTCCTGGGAATTTACACAGCACCTTCTGCTTGTTATTCTCCATTAAAAAATTACACCCACGTACCACCATTCTTAAAACTCCACAGCAATTATCCTTGCAATCATAAAACCATGACGAAATTGGCCATCCATGTGTTGTCATGAGTGACACGCAATGACCTTCACTCTTAAATCTTCTACAATTTCCTATATTTCCTTTGATTCGCTGCCATCGAAAAGCAACTGCAAGAAATTTAAAGAATTTTTCAATTATCCACCAAACCTGTCATTTACACTGGCCATTAGCAATATGAGAGCAAACGTTAAAAATCCTGCTGCCTTGAGATGCACGAACGTCCTTGCGAGCAAAGAAAGTTCTAATTAAAACGGAAATGACGATTCCGAAACTATCTTCTATTTATTTTAAAGGCAAAATTCTCAATAAAACGCAATGAGTGATGAACGAACGAAGGAGTGCAAAAGGCGAAAAAAGTAAGAAAATCCAATGAAATCTCTAACGAGAGGAAGTGAAATGCTAAAAACTCACTGACTTAAATGCAAGGATTGAAAAAAGAAAGAATTGTTATGAGATTTCATTGTCCGACAACCAATTTAATGAAGTCATGATTTTATGGTACAAAGATTTTGCTAATTTATTTAAAGATGATGTTGGGGGTGGGCTGTAATTGTTAACACATCTTAGACTAAAAGCTAGTAAAAATAATGTAATTAACAGCAAAAGGTTTCATGTACCATGACGTATTGACTAAATGGCCCCACAGTTCAGGGGTTAAAAGCTCAAGGATTGCTTCAGTTATTTCCACCCAAGGATATCTAATGATGTTCACCTTGTGTGAATATATTTTCTATAAATTAAATCAACATTTTCCTCTTAATTTCATCACTTCAGGCCAACCAATTTACGTTGGCCCTGTGAGTGGAGTTGAAACATATTTTCCATAGAAAAGTACATTTACGCAAACACACACACACACACAAACAAAGGCAAATTTCGATTCCATTTCAACAAAGCCAAAACATCAGATATGTCAAATGTAAAGCGCGACATCACGTCTGAACAAAGGTTTTTATTGCATTTCCTTTGATGTTTCCGCCGTTGCCATGGCATTTGAAGAGTCAGAGTCAAAGTTGTAGAAATTTAACATTTCGTCTGGATGTGGGTGAGTGAGTGAGTGAGTGAGTGAGCGAGTGGCACATAACTAACATTTAGCACATTAATGGATGGAGGACATGTTCCTTCATTTACATACAAGCACATTTCATTAGAGCGAACATAGAAATGGGTCACACCAAATCTGGGGGAGATGGAAAACGTATGGAGTTGGAGTAACTAATGGCAATTTATTTTCCAAAAATGTTCATAAAATTAGAAGTAGAACATTTATAGGATCGAGAACTTCGATCTATTTTTTGACTTGATTATTCAAAATGTTTACTCTTTATTGGGACGATACCGAAGGAGTGGGTCATTTTGCATACGACCCAAGTCTGACATAATTATTGTGACGTGCAAAGCTTGGACTACATCGACCAAATACTTCCCTTAATTTGAGATAGTGGTTTTTTTTTGGAAAGTGTTGAACATTTGTGGAAGAGGTAGGAGAAAGAGTGGACCTATATAATAAAACAGATAATAGCAAAGCTCATACAAATAATGAGATGTTCTTAATTATTTATATCCCGTTTTGTGGGATGAATTGGCAGAAGAGTGAACCGATATATATTTCATATCTATGGCTTATAGAAATATTATTATTTTACATATTGTCGTGGAAGTACCAGAAATAATAGACCGATAAGTTCCATATTTACACTAGAACTAATGCAGATGAAGGTATTGAATTGGGCGAAGCTAGAATATTCATGGAATATTTATTTTTTATTTTATGACACTTGACTTTGAGGAGAGGATCAAAAAATTCCATATTCAATTCAGATCTCAAGTTTTGTCAACCATTAGTTTAAAGAGAGTCGTTGTCTTGTTTCGAATGTTATAGTAGCCAATTTGTTGACCCTCTATGGGGGAGGTATCAGATCGAGTGGTCCGATACTTTCCATATTTATACTAAATCTTGTGTCAGCTGGGTTATTGAAATGTGTAAAGCTCAGAATGAATCGGATGCTTGTGTCGCATTTAATGATGGCAATAATTATTCTAAATTTTGTATCCGTTGTGTGGGAGGTATGAGAAAGATTGGTACGATATATATTCATAAGAATTCAATTTTTTAAAGATTTTTTATTATTCAAAAATTTGACCCAAGTACCTCGCCCATTACTTGATGGAGTGGGCCAGTATTGCTCATTTTTTTACCTAACCTATCACTAATACAATTATTGGGATTTTAAACGTTTGAACAAAATTAGATGATCTAAGAGGTAAATTATTTTCTATAAAAAACTCTAATTATTGTGTGGAAGGTACCAGAATAAGTGGACCGATATTGGCCTTCTCTGAATTGAATTCAGAGATGGACAGTAATTTTACGATGTACCAAGTTCGGATTAAATCGGATACTCCCTTCGAGAGTTTTCGTGCGCACCAACCAGACGAGTGTCCTGGTCTAAAATCGTTATTTCGATAAGTTACGTTTTGGCCGTATCAAATTTTATAGGGTAATAGGCATATGGCTAAAAGTCAACATTTTTAATAATTCGATTTTTGATGGCTTCTGTTAACACTTCTATCTTTGTTTCTGAGTAAATTTGAGCTTCAAGAGCACTTATAAAAGAATGCTTTATCACAATTATATTAAAAAACAAGTAAAAAAGCTCTGAGCTAAGCCGGACCGAACTTTGAATACACTTCACCATTTGGTGGACCCATTTATGGTCTATACGACGAGGTAACTCTTGTTCTAAGCCATTACCAAAAAGTGTACCTACACAGGCAATTTTCTGTCATAGGCTGTAGTATCCATTACGAACTTCAAATACCAAATTTTAAAGAGATGCGATGAATAATGTCGCTAAAATCATCAAAATACCGAATATTAGCAGATACTGTTATATGGGGGCTATACGAAGACGTGGACCTGCCAAGACAATTTTCTGTCATAAGCTGTAGTATCTATTACGAACTTCAAATACCAAATTTGAAAATTTTCCGGTGAATGTCGTACTGTCCTGTACAAATATTACCTTTGATTTTTTTATCCGGGAAAGGAAAATTCCTTACATTTGCACGCTATTCCCAAAAGTTGTGGTCCATTTTACCCGTTAAGGGTATTCAAGGGTAGTCCAAAATGCTGCAATTCTGCGCTGTCCTAAACCCTGACTTCATGCAAAATCCCGTGTCAATTGTTTTTTTTTTATTGTGACCTGTAGAGCCATTGCAAGATCAGGAAATTTTTCTGTTTTTGGTCTATTTCAACCCCTAAATATATTGCGGACATCTTTGAAAACAAAAAAAAAACTTCTATTCTTTCCCTAGCCCCACTTCCATGCTAAATTTCGTGATGATCGGGCCATAATTGCGACCTGTAGAGTGATTACAAAGTAACATGGACAGACGGACGGACGGACATTCATAGCTAGATCGACTCAGCTTGGCGTGATAGGAAAATTAATATTTAGTTTTCTATGTCGGAAACCAATATTTCGAGGTGTTGCATAATTTTTAGTCCAATCCAACTTTTACAAAAATTACAGCTGACAAAAATTTGATCAGATATCCCACTTTTCTATTGCATGTTCCTTCTAACCTTACAACCCATTTGAATATAAATACCATTGTGCGTAGCTGAGAAATATCACAAGTCATTTATTTCTATTTACCAGCCAGTACAAGACCATGCAAAGGTCACATGACTTTAACATTTATGCTCCACATAAACTTGTTTAGCTTGTTTAATTTTCACGCATTTTTCTACATTTTACTCATTCTTCTCTCATTCTTCCTCTTTTCAGCTATGATTTATTATTTGGCATAACCGAGTCGGAGTCGTATCATACACTAGGTGCTGTGGCTCTGGATGAAGGATTACGTGAAAATGAACGCGATAATTTATTGCGTTTCTATATGCAAAGCCGCTTTGATGTTCGACCGGATCTGGCATTGGCGGCCACACTCAAGAAGTAAGTTCGTTTTGCACATAAGCAAATTGCTGTACGACAAAATGGCGACGGGGTATGGGTGGGTGTGTGTGTGCGTGTCAGAATTCTATTTGAACGCCTACATTTGGATTTATCGTTCAATATATCATATTCCATAAATATTGGGGTGGATAAGTGGCAATTTGACAAATTTGTTCAGGGAATGGGCGCCCAAAAAACATATTTGTTGCAAAGATATGAATAGTCGGCTTAATGTTGCAAAAAATAAGAAATTACAATTTTTGGAAAATTATTTTCCTTTTCAGTTGTTCTCTTTTGTGAAGATATTGATTTCGGTTTTAAATCGAAATTTATGTCTTAAAGAAGTAGCATTTTTAATAGTCTACCCGATTTACTGTTCTTCCTTCTATTTCCGAGCTAAAAAAAAAAATAATATCCCTTTACGTTCACGAACTTAACAACAGACACATACTTGAGATGGGCGTTACTGGGTCACCATTGTACGTGTCATAACAATTTAAGATCATTTATACCACCTTCTCGTTATAGGTGTATAAGTGGGTGTGCATGGTGCCGTTGTATGTGTGTGTGTCTGCGTGTGTTTGTAAGACAACATGTGTTTGTATAACAAATAATTTATCATTATTTTCCGAGACAAAAGGATTTGTGGCAATTATATTTCTATAGGGCACCGGCAGCTATATTTTTGATGCCAGTTGCAGTTCCTTCTGCTGCTATAAGTTGAGGCATCATAAACAGCTGCAGCTGCAGTAAAAACAAAAACAAACATTCCTAGAAGAAGAGGATCTGCAGCTTCTAAATTATACATTACAACTTTTCATTTACTGCTGCAAAATTATAGTAATTTGAGTTGAAAAGGATTGCAATGACGTTTTTAAATTTTAATTACATTGCAAAGCATAAATGCACAAGTGGCCCGTTGTGTGTCAGTGTGTGTGTGTGTGTGCGCGCAAATGTGCGAATGTGTGTGCGTGAGTGTTCAAACATACAACATAAATTGTTATTATTATCGCAACAACACAACAGCAGAAACTAAGCTCCCGTTATGCCATAATATTTTATGAACTAAAAGCAGTAAGCATGAGGGAGGTGTCTATGTGTTGACAAAAGTGTGCAAGTGAATGGTATGGGAGAGAGAGAGAGAGGGGGGGAGGGGCGAAAAGTAGCGGGAGGTTGATAATTATGCATTTAATGAAAATGCAAGTGTTTTGTAAAAGTAGCAGCCATATACTAGCATTGCACTGTTGCTCGCCAACAACCAGCTACTGTGAAAGTGAACGAATTTCGTTAGCTAAAAGAGAATGGGAAGGAAAGAGCGAGAGAGAGTGATGCAGAATAACACCATCACTAAACTATGCATAATTGTGGGTAGAATTATTCCATAGCCAGTCGGGTGGAAGTGAAAATTAAATATTTCATAAATTTAAGCTTTGCAATGAACACTGCAATTAAATGAACATTTGCATGACTATTATTATGGCGATGACATCTTCATACAAGCTATGATTATCTTCTGCTGGCATAAATTAACACAGCACTTGAACTAAGTTGGTGCAAATTATTGCCACTTACTTAGGGTGATTAGGAAAGAAGTAAGAAATATTATTGTTGTGTTGAAGGATGTAGCAATTGAGTTGGAAATCGTTGTTGTTGTTGTCTGGGAAAATAGTATTGTTTAATTTGTATGGAATTTAAGAATTGTCTTCGAGGATCTCAAGAAGGAATAGAGATTTGTGAATGACCGACTTATGAGAAGTTGTAAAAGCAGGGTACTTAATAATAAGTTATTTCCCTTTGAAAGGAGACAAAGAATCTCCAAATATCGATGTGGGTGTAATTTCATATGTTGAAATCGTAGTGAGTCCAAATATTATTCAATAGGTAGTAATGGGAGAATACCCCTTATAAATATAATAGAAACAACCTAAATATGGTATCCTGAAGGTCATAGCAACATTTTTTGATGGATGTAAATTTTTTTTAATGTAAAATGTAAGAATTTAATATTTTTAACGAAGCCTTTATTTTAAAACATAAAAATACTGAATATCGCCAGGTTCTATTTAACACACAATTTCATGACAATTCTTGGCTAAAATCAACAAAATACAGTATTTCAGTAGGTAGCATTACAGCGGTTATACGAAAATGAAACCTTTCAAAATTGTAATGATTTATGAGACCCATATAATCTGTAGTCGAACAACGAAATATTAATTGCAACCAAATATTAATATATGCTACTTCGCCTGATACTTCCCTTCAATATTGATCTCTAAAATATGTCATAAATTGATCTCCTCTGATTAATCTGTAACAACGGAAACTCGATGAAATCCTTTTGGGAGATATTGACAAATGGGCCTTACTTTTTCTGCTTTCTAGGGTTTCTAACAAAAAGTTGACCCATTTAAAGAAAAGGTAGAACCAAAATGTCTAGATTTGTTCAGACATGAAGATGATCTCTATAGGTCCAGTCCCCTGGGTATCATCATCTGGAACACATTTCTCATTATACACCCATCCGTATGGCTACAGGGGGTATTTGCTTCAATGAAATAACGGTTTTAGACCCATGGTCTTTTTGGACCAAATCCGATTCTGGACATTTGTAACCGATTTAGGGGCGGTGCCTACGATAACTCTTGAAGGGAATATATGATTTTGTCCAACCTTGTTACATCGTAATATTATTATTAAACTTTGATCCAATTCGGACATGGGCAATGTCGTTCCTCTCCTTCTGGCGCCTTCTTCACAAAAGGTCAGAATTCTCAAAAATAATAATAAAGAGAAAAGTTTATCCTTTTTGTTTCTTATTCTTAATATTTTTATTAGTACTACATACCGAAAAGTGGAAGTAAAGTGGAGGAAGTAGTCGAATAGCTCAAACCATACAAGTGCAATATTTATGGGTCAAATGCCAATACTATAATATTGGTCCATCTCCTCCTTCGGAATTTCCTATATAAGAGATCAACATTTTGAATAATCATTTCTCAAATTCGTTTTAACTATTTATTTTTATAACCTCCACCTTGGAAAGGAGGGTATATTAAATTTGTCACTCCGTTTGTAATACCTCTAAATATTCATCATAGACCCCATAAAGTATATATATATTCATATTCAGCATAAAATTCGAAATCGATTTAACGATGTCTGTCTACCTGTCTGTCTGTGAAAATTCCGATACAGCTCACATTATTTGACGTAGAGCTTTACAGGCACAGTAGTTTGCATTGCGTCAAGGATTGTTGGTATTAAAATGAGATATATCAGTCCACGTTTTGGGATAGCCCCCATATAATGGTACCTCACCATATTCGGTATTTTGATGATTTGTGCCACATTTTTTAACGGATTTGTCCAAAAAAATATTTGTAGTTCGTAATGGGTTGGTGCCCTACAAATGGATGGGTGCCTCCCAATATTCGATATTTTGATAATTTTATCAACATTTTTCTACGGATTTGTCTAAAAATTTTTAATTGTAGTTCGTTATGGGTTCTAGCTTCGGTGGCAGCACATTGAATATCTAGGTCCACGTTTTTCCTATAGCGCACATATAACGATTCCATCGGATATTCGGCATTTTAACGATTTAAGCCACATTTTCTGATAGAATTTTTTTGTGAAATTTTGTATATGTACTTCATGATGGGTTCTATAACCGTCCCCAAAATTGTCTGTATAGGCTCCCGTTTTAGTCTGGACCCCATATAACGGCTCCAAACATTCTCCTACCGATCTTACTGGAGTTTGTAGCGTAAAAGGGAACACGATTTAACCCATGTGCATTTGCATAAAAATGTTTTCTTTACCCAATGGTAGAGGATATTAGAAGTTCGGCCCGGCCGAACTTAATGTCGTTTTACTTGTTTATTCAAAAATCCACACTATTCTCGCAATTTTGCCAATTCTTCCGATACCCCCAAAAAATTGACAAACTTTTGAATAATAGTACCAAAGTGAGAATATGGTAATATATTTTTTTGCAGATTTACAAAATAAACTTATAAAATGAAAACTTTAAGTATATTTACGGAAATTTGAGAAATATGTTTAGAGCTGATGGCGAGACCGCTTCTTACGACTCACACTCTATACGAAGCTTCTTTTAATTTAAAATCATATAAAGTTTCTATTCTTAGAGCTTCTATGGCATAGAGGTTCAAGTTTTTCATCCTACCAACTGTCTTCGCATGGTATTTTTCTTCGAAGCAAGAATAAAATAAAGCTATAACATATATATTATATTTATTTTAAATCATCCATCATCATTAAATGACACTTTTATGATTCCGATAATGAGATCAGATAATAGCTTTAATTTAATAGCATACAGCTTAGACAATAAATTACTATCATCGCTTAAGTATGCTTATAAAAATCGTAATCGTACACATATCGATCCAGCTCAAGAGTCGCTAAATTGACAGCGGACAAATAAATAAATGCTTCAACATTTTTGCAATAAAAATTTAATATTTTCTCACTTGAAGTCATCATTCTGATGGCCAAATGTGCTCAACCTTCATGTAGCTTGTTGAATTTTAATTTTTTTGGATTCCCTTGAAGCGAAATGCAATTAAGTCACCTTATCGTGCGTTCATCGTTGAAACACATATCAGCCACATCTGACAAGTACTTGAAAATAAAATGAGAATATTTCAACGTGAAATGATGATTTGAAATACAGCATTTTTGGAATACTTTGAGAAATTTATTTTCTGGTTGGCAGACAGGTAGACTTTTTTGCTAAAGGCATTTTACACCGACTGCAGAATTAAAAAAAAAAAACAAAGAAAATAAAGTCTGGAATTTATTGTTTTTTAAGTGAGAAAACAAATTTTTAATCGCTGCAAGCAAGTGGCTTGCTGAATTGCTATTTAAGTGTCTATTGAGGTAATTGGCAATTACGTTTTTTTTTTCTTAAATATAGAACATGGGCTTTGATGTTTTTTCTTCAATTACCAAAGATTTTGGTTAATTAGTTT